GCTTATTTCTACTTGGATACATATTCATTCATACTTAGTAGTTCTTTATTTCCGGTGGAGCAGGATTTTTTATAAGCGGTATAACTATTTCTAGTGAGAGGTCCGTAACAAGTCAAAAAAAAATTTGTGGAGCCAAGGGAGTTCAAACACAAGACCTCTCACAACAAATATGAAGCTATCAACCACTAGACTACTGAGCTATTCTGTTGTATGTGATGTCACTTTTAATGGTTTTATCTTGTATTTCTGTTTTACTTGTTATTTTTGTATATATAAATAGTAAAAATTTCGACGAAGCGGTGTCACGGGACACCGCTTGGGCCCATGTAAATCCGCCCCTGTTTATTCCCGTATAATGATAGTCCGGTGCATAAAGTATTCCGCATTCATCCAGGGTCCGAGGAAGAGTCGCACTTCAACGGGTATGATGTAGACAACCTGCCCTAATGTAAATTGGTGACTATTTCCACGGCTCAAATCCGTGACCTATAGGTCACACGAAGGCAACTTTACCGTTGCTTCAAGGCTCCTGTATAGGAGTTAGATTTTGAAGCATATGAATTTGAAATTCTTATCATTTAAAATTTCTGATTTTAAATTAATAATATATAAATTTTAAATAAAATTATATTTTAAGACTCAAAGTACCGGATTCAGCCGAATCCGTACGCAATACTCTAGCTCCAGATCACATATCAGTATAAATTAAATAAGAAAAGAAGAACAAATTAAATGTGAAAACAATGGACATTCTGTAGCAAAATTCTAGAAGTCACTGGTCATCAAATTCGGCTCATTGACGACAGAAAAAAGAAAAAATAATACAAAGTGGACTCAAACAGAAAAGGCAAAACACGTACTCAAACTAGGAATGTTCATGAATATGAATGATGACTTAGTTTCCCCTTTCTTCTTCTTTACGACACAGCATGTTGGGAGTTCACTTTGTTTTTTTTTTAAGTACTTTTACTGTTCTAACTTTTTTTAGTTAAAATTACAACATAAATTAACTCTTTTCCTCCCAAAGGCTCTCGATCGACTAGAGTATGGGTACTAGCTAGTAGTACCGCACAAGGTATAACGTTAATGGTGCAGCTATAGTAAAAGTTCATGTGTTCTCATGCATTATTGGTACTAGTTGTTATAACGAAAGAATGAACGAATGTGTCATAAAATTGTAGTAGTAAGCATTCAAAATTTCATCGAACGAGAGATCAAATGAAGCTCTCGAATGATAAAATATTTCTCTTTATACATGTCTTACGCCTTGAGTTGCATGTGTCATATAGTTTAAAACACTCTTATATTTTTCGAATGAACGAAGGGTGAGGTTTTAATTAGCTTTATTGCCGCAAACAATAATAACATTTCGATGATATTTCAATACCACTATTTTCTTTGTAGGCACCGACCCACCCTCTAAACTTTTTTTTTACCACCGCAGTCCCAACACGTGTATCGATTTTGGCTCTTGTAATTATACCATTATTAATCATCATATACCCAGTGGGTGCTAAACTTGGGAATTTTCCAGTAATTTGCTTGGCTATCATATTTTGAATTTTCCTCTTATTATTCTCTCTGTGTTTTACTGTTGGGCTCTAATCCTATAGATTTTACTTTAATAACTTTCTCAGCTACGTATTAGTCTGCGTGCTTCTAATTTACACGAATCATGTACACGTGAGTGAGAAAAATAAAATTTTAATCACTGTCTCATGTTACATTTTTCTCATGAAAGTAGAAGATATTAGATAACTGTAAGTTTGACATTTAATAATCAATATACCCACAATCCATTTTTTTTTACATTGTTGGATTGTTTAGAAGATAACTACATATGTAACTATATCTTTATTAAGAATGAGGTGAAAAGCTAAAAAATATGGTAGGTCATGTATAACAATCTGTTAAATTACAACAGCAATATAAAATTAAATTATAATCAATCTATATAATTTAAATCCTTTATTGCACCTACTGTGTACCCAACTTATAAATCCTTTATACACAGAAGACCAATTTTCCAATATCCAATACGCATTTCGAGTCTTTACACTACAACAAGGGCTGCCATCAAGATGGGGGGGAAGACATAATTAGGCACAATTTAAGAAAATTTTACAGACTTACAGCAGCAATAAGTAATTAACAGATATGGCAACTAATTAACTACATTCCTAGCAGAAATCTATAATATTGGACCGAGAATCACGTTTTCAGTTACTAAATTATCACAAAACTGTCCATGTTCTAATTAACTACATCCCATATTTCACGTTTGAGAACAAACTAGGATCTCAATGATTTCTTTCCATTCATAAAAGTTATTATAAATAAACTTGGGATAAAGCATGTATAAGGCAATCAACAATTGAGAAAATAATCAAATATTGAAATAATATATATTGAATATAATAGGTATATTGATATATACTACCACTAAGAATTGAAAAGTAAGAACAATAATAAAAAATATTATGAGAAAATACTTTAAAATATCATTTATATTTGAAGTGTATCCAATTCGTTGGAAATAAGATCAATATAACTCCAATGAATTTAGAATTTAGCGGGCATAATAACAATGATATACTGTATTAATTGGAACTTACATTATAGATATATTTATGGAATAATTATGTTATATTGCATATTTACTTATCACTATTTAATTATATAATTGGTATAATAATGGTATAATTATAAAAAATGTGGAATTGTTCTTCAATGCATTTGTATTTCAATTATCTGAATTTACCGTAAGAATATGACTTCCACCAGAATTGATTCTTAGTATATTGCATACATAATTAATATTTAAATATTTAATTATATAAAAGGTATAATTTTATTAAGTATTCACGGGATAATTCTAGCATTTTAATTTTACAAATAATAATTGTATCATGTATATTGCTTCCGTGTTTACGAATTTATTTAGAAAATACTTACATAATAATTCTGGTATTTATGTATTAGCAATATTTAATTATATAAATGGCACAAGTATACTCAATTTATTTTTATTTTTTTTCAAGTTAAAGGGTAAAACAATTGAGGGGCGGGAAAAAAAAATGAGGAGGAACGGATGTGGTGTTTGTGTTTGGGGGAGGGGGGAGGGGGGTGCAACGACATTAATAAGGATCAAAATAGATCCCGCATTTAGTGGTCTTCATTTATTTTTAAAACTTACGGTTAAATGTTATTAGTGTAAAAAACTCTTCCATTTATGTAATAAATAAAGATTACTAATATTTTCTTAAATATTCTTTAAAAAGTGCCCATCCATGTATATTTCTCATTCTGGGTCTGTGAAATCCTACTCGGATCTCTATCTTTTTTGGTGGATATATGGAAATTTGTGCCCATCTAGCGGATGGATTTTTAAGGCCCAAACCATAGGAGCAGTCCAAAAACTACGAACTTGGTCTTAGTGGACCATATGGATAAACAAGGGAAAATGGCACTTATAGCTGCTCTCAAAATAATAGTCAAAAAAAATATATTTTTTGTATATATATACATTCTATATGTTATATACACAAATTATACAAATTTTGTACACTTTTTTGACTACAGAATGTAAATAGTTTCTGGCACGGGTTAAAAGTGAAAAAAGCCCGATAAACAATTACAACAGCCCAATTTTGTTTCAGAAGACGTATTTTTTTGTCTTTTCTATTCATTTAAACGAAAAAGGAAAAAGTTGAGCAGAATTAGGGGTGTGCATTTGATTTATCGATTTGATTTTGACCCCTTATCGATAAGTACTTATCGATTATCGATTTGTACATATGCTTATCGTTATCGTTTCAATAAGGTTTCGATATTTTCGATTTCGATTTATCGATTTTGGGGGCTTATCGATTCGGTTATCGATTACACCAATAAAAAAATTTGCGGGATTCCACGGAAAGTATATCGCTATAAACGCACCTAACTAATATGGACAAAAAGAAGCTAAAATAAGACGAACACCATTTATAATATAAAAATTGTGTCAACAAGCACATGCAACAAAACTAAAGTAAGGGATCAAATGTATGCCACCAACACTCCAACGGTATAAAAAAACAAAACAAAACAAAACACATCATCACGGCTAATTCTGTTTTCCATTAATTTGAACTTCATTCCCTTGATCTTTAAATATGATGATTCCTTAAATGTGGTAGAGGAAATAATAGGGTAAGGGACTTAGGGTAAAGGAAAGGGTATAGATTAGGGAAAATAATATTGTATAGCCGCTTTCAAAATAGTAGCGGAATATATATACATTTTGTATGTTATATTAATCTACACAAATAGGTAATTACTCATTTAGCAAGTGTCTACAGTCTAGGGGTGTGCATTCGATTTATCGATTCGATTTTGACCCTTATCGATTTGTACATATGCTTATCGTTATCGTTTCAATAAGGTTTCGATTTTTTCGATTTCGATTTCGATAACCAATAATCGATTCAATTTATCGATAAACCGATTCGAATGCACACCCCTAAGCAGAATGTTTATTGGAGCAGCAGTGTGCGTAAATGGGAAATATGCGACAGTCAGATACACAATCCGAATGAATACGTGCTATATGCTTTCACAAACAGGAGAATAACAAAACTTCAATTAAAAAAAGAATGGGAAGAGGAGTCCAATTTAGACTTCTAATATCTCCTTAGCTGCTAAGCTAACCTCTGTGGAAGATCTTTTGAACTAACTCATCAAGAAATGTTATCATACTGAACTGACTAGGTACATGGATTGCTTATTTATGTCAGTATATGTGATAACATTAGGTGGCATGTCATTTACTGCAACTGCATACTATTGTTTAAACTATAAACCATACTGCTTTCTTGAGGATAACACCTATGTTTCTCTCACTCATATAATACTGCAATTGGGACATAGCAGTGGATGCATTTGTACAACAGAGGATATTTTCTTGGTTTGGAAAATTAAATCAGTGAATGCACACTGAAGTTACTTTTATACTGTCAACATGATGGAATAACAGAATGCAAGAATTGCAAACTAATGAAGCCCCTCGCAGTAAAAATAAAAGAGGTTATCAAAGTATAGTTACCAAAACCAAGCCACAGCCTAATTCCATATGATAAAAGTTTTAAGTACGAAATCCGGATGTAATCTTCTTCTGAGGTTTACGTTGCGGATATGTCACCGAAGGTGAGGAGCCCAGGGGTATCTTGGGTAGCAAATGGTGACCATTTGAACTGTATGTAGGTGAAGAGGAGGGAACCAAGCGTGGGGTTTGTGGACTCAACTGGCTCAGTGCAAGGCCACATGGTTTACTGCTCCCATTTCCCATGCCCAATTTTCTCTTCTTTTTAAGCAACTCCCACAGAAGTTTGTCCTCTTTAGCATGATCCTGGTCCTTCACAACAAGCTTCACGATAAAAAACTTACAAGCAATAGTACAGTCAGTAGCACTAAAAGATTTAGCATATGAGCAGAAACGATATTTCCCAAATGCAGCTCCTATCTGAACCCTTTTACAGCAATATGCATTTGACATTTAAAATGAAAAAAATGACAATTTGGATTCCCATGATGCTACAATCCCACAAAAGTTAGCAAGAATGGGGAAATGAAAAGTTGTAATGCAGCACGATGTCTAACTACAAGGGAAGGCAAAGAATGCATTTGTGAGCTAATGACTGGTGTCTCAGATAATCTCTTCCAAATTAAAATTTTGCATTATCTCTTCATATTTCTTCATAAGCATTTGTGCATCCTGAGAAGCGTGTAGTCTAAACAATCATTGAATTCGTTAATTGGAAAAATGATCATCATAATTTTCTAAAATAATAACAGAAGATCATATCAAGAAGCTAATGACTTTAAAAAGTTTTGGTATAAAAAGACCAAATCAAGACAGCGACAATAACTCAGAGTAGCTGGAGTTCTCAGCGTATGCAGTATGGGCTGGGTAGTTTTAATTCATCAACAAGCAAGGCCTCTGAGAGTCAGTGCACTCCTTGCCAACACATTTCGTCAGGCCAAAACATGGTTAGCATCAAGTGAATTTGCAGTAAATTAATCAAGTAAGAAGAATACCTTCTCATGCTCAAATTGTTCCTTTGATCCGTTCTCGGCTTCCAAGAGGAACTGGTGCTTCCTTGCTATTTCTTCTGATTTCTTCAACTTGTACAATGCATCAAGTCTATTATGTTCTGCTACTCTTGCTTTCTTCCTTGCTTCCTCCAACTCGATCCTCCCTGTTCTCATTGCTCCTCCCATCTCTTCCACTATGCTCAATAGGTGATGGCATCTTCCTGATCTGATTTCAAGCTTAAGACCCTTCACATAGTCGACCATTGGACTACACATTTTTCTAGCTAGCTCGTCCACTAGGTTGTCCACTCCAGACTCTACCGAGCTCAGTGTAGCAACAACGAGACGAAATATGTATTTCAGAAGTTGAATTGTGATCACAGAAGTGCTATCGTTTTCACCTCTCTGGTGAATGGCAGAAACATATGCCACAGCTTTCTTGAAAACATTATGTATGGAAGTTTGATGGTCACTAAGGGTCTGAAGAATGTTGGTTTGGCTTGAATTTACTTGGGCTTCAACTTGTCTTAGCAGATGGATCAAATGTTTTAGCTGCATTTCTTGTTTCTGAATTAGCTCTTTGCCAACTGTTTTGGCTCTATTTATATAGCCTGCTTCCTGCATTTGCAGATTGAGAAACCTAGTTCACATCTAGATTCAAACAATTTGTGGAAATTCATGTGAATCTTTTAAAGAGTCAGCCAATCCCAACAATTCATTAAGTCGTGTTATTCATGAAGAATGATACAAATAGTATATTTGCCAACATCTTGAAGTACTCATCCACAGTGGCGGAAGCAGGACTTTTGCTAAGGGGTACAAAAAGGAATAAGTTAAAAAATTTAATGAGATTGTAGCTAGTGGGAATTGCACCAATGACCTCATAATGATTTTGAACCCCCTTGACCACTAAGCCATTCTTTTGGACTATGTAAAGGGAATTCAAAACATAATATATAGAGATAGAAACCAGATATTGCCTTGTATACACAGTGTAATTTTTCGGCGAAGGGGTTCGTGTGAACACCCTTGCGCCCCCTAAATCCGCCACTGCTCATCCATCTGGTTGTATATAGCCAATCTACCTTACTATAAACTCAGCTTAGACCTCCATGTTGAACACTTACTAACATTGTCTCTACCACCAAAAGATAACAAGATATTGGGATACACGAACACAGAGTAAGAGGTAGAATTTCGGATCTAAATGGAGCATAGTTATTACTTCAAATTTCACTTTCTGATTTCGTGCTTTTGTCCTTCGAATGAAAATAATAACACTCATAGCTGCTGAAAAGCATTGGCTCTTCAATTTAGTTTCACAGTTCAATTACGGACGGATATATACATATTATCATGCACACATACTCCTATTCTAACTTAAGCGACTCTCTTCCAAAATGTTTGAGACTATTGCAACTCTCACAAGTTTCAAAACTTCATAATCATTTAAGTATTCATATTTTATACTTAGATATTTTCTCTATCAAGACTAGGTTTCCACCACTACGAATAACGTAATACATAAATTACACTAACATCTGGAGCTTCATGTTCAGCGGAATACAGTCATAAACGAGAAGTGAATATGACATTACTAACGCATGCACAAGCTCAAAACGCGTTTACTTGTTACCTCAATTTCGCTTGCTTCGTTTCTCACCATCGTTTCAGCTCCATTCTCGTTTCTCTTAAAGTCCTGTCACCAAAAAAGTTAACATATAATTGAACGACCGTATATGCTTAGGAGTTTAATATCTTCACGATTATCAACTCGCTCATTTAAAATTTTAGATATCTGATTAAACACACGGAGATAACAGAGTATAGGAGTTTGATAGTAGAGTACATCGGCACAAAAATTATTATAATCGACGACAACGGTACTAAATTTTCCTTCCTCAGCCATTTCAACAGTCTTCAGTCCTACGAGCTTCATCAGCGGATTAGCTAATGATTCAAAGACGTCTGCCGCCTTCAAATTAAAACATAAAAAATCAGGCATTAAAACCAGATTTAAACCTAAAATCCACAACTCTCCATTTGCTTCATGTTTGGAGAGATCGAATATAAATATATTCTAAAATTAAAATTTAAGTACGAGTTTGAAGAATTTGTACGTACTTCCTGCAAGCCAGTTCGGATCTGAAAATCGAGCTGATTGAAGGCGATTTTGAGTTGCTCGTGATGCGAAACGATCCGCGAGAACTTAACACGGAGATCGCCGATTGACGGAGAAGGAGACGGAGATGAAGTTGGCGCCAGAAATCGTCGCCGGCGACCTTTCATCGTCTCTCTTTTTTGGCGGGAAGCACGGGAGAATAGGATTTTGGAGGAGACTTTTCTGATGCTATAATGGAGTACCGTTGAAGTTCAATATATTTCTACTTATATAGTACTATTCCGACTCGCATCATTTTGGTTCGTGTGTTTTAAGTTGTTATTATTATTTTCTAGTCCACTATGGTTATCTTAACACGATATTTATACTCACTAAAGACAACGTTTTCTTAATTCTCGAGTTATTTTAGGTCAAAATATAAAATTAGCGGATTAATCAAAATTAAATTTATTAGCCGAAAAGTGTACATACATATATATATATATATATATATATATATATATATGTATGTATATACTAGTATCTATGGTTGCACGTTAATATTGGCACGTGATGATTTGGATATTTATTTATATGAAGGAATAAAAAAATTTAGTTAATGAAAGAAATTTTATGTATAATAATATAACAATCGCTAAATGCCGAAAAATATTATTACATTAGCATAATACATGAATTTAAAAATAAAAGAACATCATCATAACTTACACAAATGATCAATTTTGTCATGTTAGTTGGATAATTATGTATTATAGTTTAAAAATATTTAATATGATGGTATCTTAACGAACATTTCTTTGTGGACATTATTTTTTTTGTGTATGTTTCCTCCTAATACTTTGGTTGCTCTGCCTTAACCAAAACTCTTGTTGTCGATCTTGATATCTCCCCTGAAAGTGAAACATACAGTTGTTCGTGGAAGAAAATATATTGCGGTAAATATAGTCCAATATTTAGGATGAGTATCCTTGTGCTTTATTTATTATGTTTGCAAAATATAAACATACTAAAAATTATTTTCACACAAATTTAAAAAGGTACTCCTTAATTTCGGAAGATGAAAGTTAAATCCAGGGATAAGAATATATTTAGAAGCACATTGACCAGTATCTTAATTTTTATATATAACGTTATTAGCAAAACTTATTTATATTATCTGTGTGCTATTACATAAGCTATTCGGTGTATCTAAGTTATTCAGTAGCATGACAGGCATATTTTTCTTCAATATCAACCTATATACAATGGAATATCAATTTTAACTTAGTCTATTCTATAAATTGTGACACTAACATATGTAAAAAATAATAAACTTGAAACATGTATGGTAGAAGGCCATTTGGTATTAAAGTATTTAGTATTCTTTTTGGTAATAATTATTGGTATCATTTTTAGCTGAGTCAAAAATAGAAAAATACTGTGTTTTTACTATAAAATTTTGCAATCAATATTTTATTTAGTTGATCAACATATTCATTTCTGCTAGCTAAGATATCTTTTTAATTCTATCATGCGATTTGCACAAATTGCGTTTTAATCTAATATAGAAATATTTCTATTATTAAATGCACTACCATTACCATTGGGATTGATAACCAAGCGTTCAGGAAGAATCAAATTATCTTTTATTGAATACTCTTCTTCGTTTCTGACACAAAGCAAGAAGACACTGAATACTGGATATGTTCTTACTTTATATTTCTTGTCAGTTGAATACTTTCCATTTGAGGCCAGAAGCATAACTTTGGCAAGCTAGCTTTTACAGTATCTGCTTTGTCGATTTTGGAACTACTGATAGTACTTGACATAAATCACATCCAAATCATTAATTTTCCACCAAATGGTTCACTAATATCCAATGTATCTCTAGAACTCCGGAAAATCATTTCGATCGTTTGACACTTAGACATAAGTGCTTCATCCCATATTATCAATTCTGGTACCATGCCTACACAAGCTCGTCCCTATACAAGGAGAAGATGAAGTACCTCCATGACAAGTACTTCCAAAATAAGGAGTTCAAAGAAGGTGATCTCGTGTTATTGTTCAATTCCCGGTTACGGATATTTCCGTGCAAGTTGAAGTCTAAATGGAGTGACCCATTTGAAGTGGTGAATGTAACCCCCTTTGGTGCTTTGGACTTGAAAAATAAAAATGATGAGGTGTTTAGAGTCAATGAGCACCGGGTGAAACACTATCTTGGTAAAGTTGATGATGGTCACGTAGTGGCGGTTCTTCATTTCAAATGATTGGTAATCTACGTCGTGCCGCGATGTTAAATTAGGCGCTTCTTGGGAGGCAGCCCATGTGTCTTTTTCTTTTTCTTTTTCTTCTTGATTAGATAGGCTTTGTTTTGTGCTAACTAGTTTTGAAAGGTATGCAAGAATGAGTGTGCATCGCAAAGACCATGTCATAAAAAAATTGGTTAAGTGTTGCAAAAGTGCGGATCGCACATTAATTGTGCGGACCGCACATTAATTGTGCGGACCGCACAATTCTAAAGGCAGCAGCAGAAATCACTCTGCGGCCGCACAATTCTGTGTGCGGTCACAACTGGAAGACCAAAAGTGCAAGCTCTCTGAAGCTGGCCGCTCAAAATTCATAGCAAATCTTCGGCCGCACACAAAATTGTGGTGTCCGCACAAATTCTGCGACCGCACTCACTTTTGTGCGGACCGCAGAGTTTCTTCAAGGTCCAGGTAAAGAGTTCGGACCGCACTCAAAATTGTGCGGCCGCACTCAGCTTAAGTTTGGGGCGACTTGGTCAACCTATAAATAGAACCTCAATGCACTATTCACAACTTTACACACTCGCTCACAATCTTCCTTCATTTCATCAGTCTAGATTCTTATCTGCGTCTTTCATAACTGGTATGTTCATTACATCTTTAGATTTTTTAATTTCTCTTAGTTTTTGTTCCTTGGTGGTAGAGTTATTTTTAGACCTAAAATGTCAATTGTTAGTCATGTGTGCTTAAAATCATGTGGGTAATATATTATACGTTCATTAGGGACTGGGTAGATCATTAATCATGTTCAGTTACAAATACCATGTCTAATTTTTGTAAAAATTACGAAAAATAAAGTCAGTGCTGCAAAATTTCAAATTGTGCAGCCGAACACAAATTTGTACGGTCACAGATCTTTAAATTAGGGAACAAGTGTTGCATGAATTGTGCGGACCGCACTCAAAATTATGCAGCCCGCAGAAACATTGTGCGGCCACAGAAAAATGTGTGAGACCGCACTTTGGGTCTTCAGGGAACCAGTGTTCTGGAATTAGGATTGTGCCGCCGCACTCAAAATTGTGCGGTGCACTTCAGGATGTGCGACCGCACTTCAAAATTGTATGGTCCACACAAGGCAGTCTGCGGCCGCACTCAAAATTGTGTGGTCCGCACTGCCTCTTCTGTAGTCTGATTTCTTGCAATTGTCATGCATCTGTGTACACTGTTTTGAGCTCTAACTGACTTATGTGCCTTGTATTGCAGACAATTGTTCGATCACGAGGCAGAGGAGATACATCTAAAGGGAGAGGTGAATCCTCTCGAGGCTGGGGCAAATGTACTCAACCTTTGGGAGTGCAGAAGAAACCATTAACTAAAAAGCAAACCCTATGGAGAGGTAGGGCGTCAAAGCCTTTAGAATCAAGCTCATATTTCCCGTCTAGGGAAGCCTCCGAAGGTAACTCAGTGGAGGAACAACCGGAGGCCCAGTCCCAACCATCACACTTCTCTGGGAAGTACCAACTCCGTGACGAACCCTCTACCTCAACAAGTTCTTCTGAGGGTTCAGATGCCGGCAGCCAGGGTTCAGAGCCCTCCTCTACACACACTCCTCCTACACCAATTGTTGTAGATGATGATGATGTTCCTGATGATGGTAGAGGAGGTGACACTAGAGTGGGCGACCTTGAGAGGTCGAAAAAGAAGGAGATATGGGAAGACAGATTTGTGAGCTTAACAGCTTTCAACAGGTTCAGAGAATGGTGGCCCAAAAGATCGCTCACACTTGAGCGGCAAATTTTACTGAAGGATTTGGATAAATACAATCCAAATGTCCTTAGGCAGTTCAGGGAGCGCCAAGGGTGGATATGGTTCACCCAGAGTGTCAAGGATGCAAAGGAGCACTTAGTACATGAATTCAAGAAGGGTGCCGAAGTTACCAAAGTGCGGAATTTGAAAGTTAAATTCGATTAGTGCACTCTAAACCAATACTTTGGATTCGAGGAGTTAGAACCAGTCCGGTACTTGGAAAAGCTCTCTATGGGTGATGCAATTCGCCCTTGGCTAGTAGAGATATTGGCAGCTCCAGGACCACCACCATCATGGATCACGGCGGGGGTTCCCGTTGCTCGGGCCACCCTCAATTTTGAAGCAAAAGGGTGGCTAACTTTTGTGTGCAACCGCTTAGACCCGAGCCGGAATAAAAACAATCTTCCACTCCCACGAGCAATTTTGGTGGCATCCATCATGGCCGGGTACCCAATCAATGTGGGTGTCATCATGTCGGCCAATATGTCATTGGTGGTCCAAAAAGGTGAAAGATCCTATCCATATCCCAACACACTTGCAGAATACCTCACAGATGCAAAGGTGGAGGCGAGGAGTTTTGATCAAAAGGTGCGGGCTAAAAAGCCCTTCTCATGGTACTCTATGCAAGATTCGGGAAACCCAAAGTTCAAGGGTAAGGAAACTACCACCGGTGGCCAGTCTGATGAGCCAACGGTGTGGTTACAGATTCAGCAGCTGAGCCTTCTACAACTGCCATGCCTTCTACAGCACCCGGTCCTTCCACCGAGGCAGCTGAATGCCACCACCTCCACCTTCTAGACCATCTACATCAGTGCCAGTACCTGCCTCTTCCACATATCCACTGTGCTGCGTGTCTCCCAGACATTGGCGAGTCTCAACAACCAGACGCAGACAACTACTTCAAAGCTGTCTGACATATCCAGTGCTGTTGCAGCACAGTCCTCTACCCCAGCAACACCTCAAGTACCACCGTCAATGGAGGAAACATTGAAGAAGATCCTGGAAAATTAGAAGACCATCATGGATACAGTGGTGGCACACGGGAGAGCTATTGAGGAGTTGGGAAAATAGGTGAAGAAGATGCGGAAATCTTAGACATCAAAGAAATCAGTGAAAAGATTGCACACAGAGGTGGCCAAGCTTACATTAGCTGGGGATATTCCACTTGACCTTCTGATGGAGTCAACACCA